ACTTGCAGACTTTAAAAGATAGAAAAATACTTTTGAAAACTATGCTCATTCATCCAGAATAAGATTTTTGGTCTACTTTAATGCTAGCAGTGATATGGCCATCTTTAAAGGGGAGTTCATACCTATGCGGTATATTTTCCATGGGTGAAACCGTTAGTGGTCAATCAACATTGAGGCAATTGTTCCAATTTTATATTATTATTTAATTGTATTTTTTTAATTATATAATTATCTATTTGCTGTATCGGGGTTACGGACAAGACATAGAAACACGTGTAATTCTAGCCGTACATAAAAGGGATCAGTCGATTTCCTCATCCACGCTAAACAGCAGGGACAGAGGAATCCCCCATGCCAGCTATTGCATATATACAGCTGGGACCGGTGGCTGTCTGAATGCCCGAGCAATTACTCCGCCTGGCTCCTTCAATTTTCCAATCGAAGTCTGTAGAGCCAGACGGCAAATTCAGCAGAAATGCAGTGTATGTATACCTGATTGGTCATTTTTTTATGTGTTGTTATTGTGCAATCAACGGCTCGTAAAGTTAACCAATTAGAGAATGTTTACACAACTAGTAACTACAGCTGAGTCTAATTGTACCTATGAGACCATCTTGAGTCAAATCAACAGCCATTGCAGGGCATGGAGCCTATCTTAGGTTTTGGGCAATGCTTTCCGTGTGAGGCCTCACTGGTCTTTGACAGAAAAAGTTGCGCATACAATGTTTGAACCAAAACTTTAACATAAATATGAATGGATAAATAAATAAAAAATCTCACAATACAAACGGGATGTAGGGGAGATATGAAATGACCCCCAGAAAGTGTTTCCTTCTCTCCTAAACAGAATTCTTAAGTTTATCATTTTGAATTATCAACATTAATTGCTAAGCAGCTAAATACTTCTAATGAAAAGCCTGATTTATTCTGTTCATCAGTTTTATGGCATAGGGTTTGATTTACTAAAGGCAAATAATCTGTTCACTTTGCATGGGAATTTTCTCTTAGCTTAGTGAATGTGGTGAACAGTCTCTTTGCAAGGAATGCCCAATCATGTGCAAGGAAAATAAGAAACAAAGTATAAGTATTTTTGCTTGCATGATTGGATGAGGAGAGTCAGCAGGGATTCGCTTAATTTACTAAGCTAAGGGAAAATTCCCTTGTAAAGTGTACGGCCTAATTACCTCTATTATGCCTTGTCAAGGTCAGGTATATGTGTCACCCTGTACTGTCCTTTACATTCAGTTTAGTTAGCAGTTTATCTTTTTTAGAAAGTTGTTTTACATTTAACTCTACAATAATCAGTAGTTTTATTTAGATCTTCGCTCTCTAAAAAAAATAAATTATGAAAGAAAAGGAAGTCTAGTAATATGTATGGAAAAAAGGGTTTTATGTATGGATAAAAAAAATTGATTTATTTGTTGTATTGACCAAAGGAAAAGTAAAAAGATGTGTTTTATGTACACAATTCTCCTTAATGCAGCAGAAAGTTTAAATCTAGCTACTGAGCACTTTTGTTTTGTTTTTATCTACTCGGATACTATTGTTGAGTCCTGCTAAAAAGTATCAGTATCTTATTGTATAAATAAAAGCTTTGTGCATTCCGTGAAACTCTGGTCAAACCTTGTGCACTTCAAATAGTCACATATGTTCTTAGACAGTTTAACAGGAAACCGTCTACTGAAATACATTCATCAGTCATCATTGTAAGTTGAGTTTGTGAATCTGTCATCTGCTACTTTGGATTAACTTATGGAGGAACTTCGGAAAGTCACTCACTTCTTTTGGATGAATGATCTAAGGAACTTTTGGCCTTTCGGAAAAATGTTCTTGGCTAAACCAAACTGTGCAAATCCCATAATGGGGAAAAAAATATGAGTTTGGAAGTTAGGTGAGAGGAAAAGCCTCGTAGTTGGTGGCAATTCACTGTTTCGTACATTGTCATGTACATGGATGATTCTTTAATCATGTTATGCAATTTATAAAGGTTATGTGTAGTGGTTTTATACATTTTTTTGTTTATAATGGTTAGGTAATAGCATTTTAAGCACATTTTCAAGTGTTTGCAGGCTTTCCTAGCTTCTTTGTTTAAAAAAAAAAAAAAAAAGCCTGAGCTTCATAGCTCAAAATGCAATTCACACACACCCATCCCTTATTGGGCAAAAGGCACGCATTTACTACTGTGCTGTCTCTTAATCTGTCAGTGCTCTCAGAATCCTTTGTAAAATGTTAAAGAAGATCTTTAGGCAAATAAAAGCTTAACCCTTGCCGCACTGCAAGGGTTACGTGCTAATTTTGCCTAGGGAGTTAAAATAACAGAGATATGCTCACCCGTACCACAATCCTGGCTGGCTACTTGACCCATCCCTGGAGCCTCTCTCCCCACGCCTTCCTATTCAGTGTTTAGTACATGAGGATGCGGAGGAGAAGACAGGCTAAAGGGACCGGTTCTAGGAGCCAGCTGAGATTGCAGTTGGGGTGAGTATATCTGTATATTATTTTAGCTCCCTAGGCAAAATGAGCACTGAACCCTTGCAGTGAGGGGGTAGCCCCCCTGCAAGGGTTAAGATTGATTTGCCCAGATTTCTTCTTCTTTAAGTGTACACTGAGTGGCCAGATTATTATGACCACCCCATCAATACTTTGTTGGGCCACGAGATGATTCCACGAGATGACTTCGTTGGGCCGCCTCGTGACTCCACGAGATGTTGAAAGGTGATGCGAGGAATCTGGCACTGCACTGTTGCCCTTCTGTTGTCTTGTACCAGTCTTGCCACTCTCTGTTCTGCCCCAACATTGACTAGTTGCTGACGGCCACAATTCGCACATTCAGACCCAGATTTTCGGCTGACAGTCCAGTCTTTAAACACTTTAACAACAGCTGCTCTTGAACATTTAACGAATTCTGCTATTTGCTGATACTCGCTCCATGGCACGAACACCAACAACCATCCCACGTTCAAAGGCTGTTAAATCGCGTTGTTTACCCATATCTTCAGAAAAAAAATCACTTCTACTGTTGTGGTAAACAACCTGCTTCCCTATTTATAATGGTCTGGCCCTCTAGCAACTTCAGCGCGGAATTATAGCTAATTTTCCTGCAAACGTCAGGTGGTCATAATAATCTGGCCACTCAGTGTATATTTGTAAAATATGCATAACAGATTTTACATATAGTAAAACAGATATAAAACATCAGTTTACAAACATACAACCTAAAAAGACAATATTTCACAAAAATTGACCCAAAACCACAATAGGATTACTTTTAATTGTACTTGATGCAGTATAAATACATGCCGTTTTCAATTCCAAGGCAACGTTCTAGCGAAGCATATGTTCAGATAAGTTTCGGCAAAGAAAGCTCTTGATTTACAAAGACCTGTCTTTGTAAATCAGCACACATGCCATTGGTCAGGTTGAAAATAAAGGTTAGATACTCTTTGGTTGCCTGGCATGATATGTCTAGTGTTTTTCCCAGACTGTCTCTCAATTTCTGTCCCCTTGACCACAAGCAGCAACGGCTGATTTACTTCTGTACTTTTGTGTGTCTATAGAAGTACCAAGAAATAAAATCTCCTTTCCTTGTTTAAAGTGATATTAAAGGCAAAGTCCCCCCCCCCCCCACAAAAAAAAGGCAAACACCCCCCCCCCCCCATGCTAGTGTAAGGATTTACATTTAAATAATGCCTCTTGATCCGATCATCTTCTTTACAATAGTTCTCAGGAATCCCTCCAGCGCCGGTGCCGGTCTCTGATCCAGCAGAGACTCCTGTTTCTTCCTGTCCCTTCCTGGAGTCTGTGTGGGTGCACGCCGCTGCATTGACTTACCCTGTGTCTCTCCTCTTCTCCTGGCCGAAATTCTGTAGTGCATATGCGCCCGCCCCATGATCCTTTGCGGCCGCCTGAGAATCTTCAGGTGGCAGCGTGCGGCAGAGACACAGGTACGCTTTAACCCTTTTGTAAACTTTAAAAAAAATGTTTTTGCATATATCTACTGCTTGCTAGCAGTAGATATATGCAAAAACATGCAATGCTTTAATTGTCCTTTAATTAAGTGACTGATCTACAGAAGAATGGGTAAACATTGTCTACTTCCAGGGTAGGTAAGAGGTTAAACTTCTTAAGAATTCTATTCTATCTGGACACCTTGTCTCGATTTGCAAATATCTACAAAAATATTTTATGAAATCAAACCGGGGCGAGTATCTGGGATAAATGACCGCATGGGTTTGTATGGATTCATGTCATCTGTGTTCTGAAAAATATATCTGCTACTTGCTCTTGTTTCCTACTCTTTTTCTTATGATTGACCTTGTTTTTGGAGCATAACCTAAATATTCTATGGCAGGTCTACTATATCTTTAATTTATTGTTTACACCTGTCACACATCATTGTGTTTTAAAACAACAATAAAGAAGTTGGATGAAAAATATGAATGTGACATGAGGTCTGACATAATCATGTATTTTATTAAATACATTTTATGGATGTAATGTATCACTGGAAATAATGTGCTTGCATGAACCAGAAAGCAAACCGCTCAGCTTACTGAGGGTACATAGCAAAGTTTTGGTCAGGGTGAAAGGAAATGTAGCCATGTATACTTCACTCCAGATTTGGTAAAGATTTGCAAAGTGATACTGTGGTCTCAAATGACCCTCTGCTGGTGCTGGTTAGCTCTCCAGTCTGTTAGTACTTACTAAATTGAATTCATGCCTGGTATATTTACTAAATGTTGGTACAGGCAATAGGTGAGTAGAGATGGTTGATTGGCTTGGTTAGATTTTTCTGGACAGTGACTATTGTAATCAGATAAGGTATGCACTGGAATAATTGCTAAAACATGCATGGTTTGGTATAGCAAATATGTATGTTTATGTATACATCATTATATAAAGAAGTCATGTTTTGGCCACAATGTACTTCTGTTTAGTATATTTTTTACATGTTTTTCATGACAAAAATGCTATAAAGACTGTTGTGTTTTGTATTTCAGATGGAATCGTTTTACTAGCATTATTCTGGTCCTGCTGCTGCTGGGCGAGCAGCATCACTACATGATCACATGACTCTGGATATGGACTCAGTCCTGTCAGACTTTGTTCGGTCTACAGGGGCTGAACCTGGTCTGGCAAGGGACTTGCTGGAAGGTATAGTGACTTTTTCTTTGCATGTCGTTTCTTGTTACTTTGCTTTTTTTTCAGAATAGAACCTGCTGACAATCAGCTAAATACACAAATGATATACTTACATAAGAACTGATTTTCTTGCCAATACTTGTCACTTGTGAATTGCTCACCGGTGGCACACTGAAAATCCAGCAAAGTGACACCACCATTTCCTGATGCCCTCTTATTGGATAACAAATTAGCATAATAACACTGATGTGTTCCTTCTGTAAGCTTCCTAAACACCTTCCTTTCCGACCTCCAGTGCCCATCTGGCTTAGAATACATAACCACTCACTCCTGTACTGGAAACTCAGATTGGAACTATCAGACAAAAAATAACTAGAATGCAAGCCTACCTGGTTGAGTGTCATTGGGCTGAATTGGACAGTTGGATCATGGACAGCTTTAGGTTGATTTCTGCTTTGTGGTAGATATGGGGAGGGTAATATAAAGACAGATCCTGCTAGTTATAGTAGCAGTGTTTTAAATTATGTCTCATTTTTGATAAATACTGAAATTACGGGTTTTTTATGTTCGCTTGGAATTCTTCTAGATGCCTAAGGCAGTGCTGAACATGAAAAAATATTAACTGATTTTACTACTCTTAACAGAAAAAAACAAAAAGGGTCCCTTTGGTCAAATATTCTTGTAAAATAAAAATGTTTGTTTAGCTAATGAATGTAAGATGATTTCATATCAGCCTGCGTATGCTGATGTGATTTTTAGCCAAAGGGGGTAAAGGCCATCCTTAAATAAGCATGATGCGCAGTATTCTTATCATTTGTTTAGGCTGGATTCACACTTATGTTATTACAGTAACACATGATAAAACATGCAAATTACTGTGCTTAATTGGAACACTTAATAAACCATGGGTATATGTACGTTGCCATCCATTTTAAATGGAAACCCAATGTTCATAAACCATAAAAAAAAGTGTCTGCACTGTAGTGCAGCATGACACACAGATGTAAATACTTTGTGGTGCTCTGTGTTGCCAAAAATATTGCAGATGAGTTTTTTTTTATGCATTGTGGTGTGTTAAAGTGGACCTTTACCCCTTTCACCAAAAATCACATCAGCATGTAGCTCTGCATGCTGATTCAAAATCATCTTGCATTCATTAGCTAAACAAACTTGTTTTTATTTACTTACAACTAGAGTTCCTCTACTTCCTGGTAGAGTCCTCCTTAAGAGGCAATTCAAAGTGAACACACTGCGACTTAACACTAAAATGTATGTGTTCTGGTTGGTATTATTGTATTGTGTGTGTGTGTGTGTGTATATATATGTGTATAAAAAAAAATATATATATATATATATAATGTTCTCCCTAGGTTATTGTTTAACATGCTCATGTATGATTGGAATTAGGCTCTGGAACTGTATCTTTTGGTACTGATGCTGCAGTATAGTGACTGCCTACACTAGTGGGTGGTCAACTTAGTAAATGTAGGTGGCCTCAAGTGCTGGCCCCAATATGTGTATGTCATTTTAGTATTTAAAAAAAAATGTGTTGCATCAACATGCGGTAAAATACAGGTTTTACGTAAGTTACAGCAAGGCACAGTAACATGCGAAACGGCATGCATGCGTTGCAGTGCCCTTAATTGTGTGATTTTTAGTGTGTCAAAACACACTGACAATGCACGTTAATGCCCCTTACGCACAGTTTTTCATTCACAGCCACCAGTTTAACTCACATTCATTGCGATCCTGTTTTCTTTTAGCTTTCATCAAGTTCTGCAGCACTCTATTTCCAGAAGTGCGGGGCTGACAGACGCTGCAGGGCCCTAAACAAGCAGATCATCTGCTGACAGCATTTGTGACTGTGGCTGTACTGGAGGCTGACTCCCACCACAACTGGGATTCTGTGCTCAGAATAAAACAAAAATAAAAGACATGCATTTTATCCTATTTATCTTTATCTTTTTATTGCACAGTATGCCAAGTCCACTCGTCAGCACTGCAGAGCCTCCCGAGATGCTATACAATGATTTTGATGAGTAGAGCAAAAAAAAAGGGAGAAACAAAGATGGGCATCTCAGTGCATGGTGTGTCACTCCTATAAAATCCAGACCAGTCCACTCTGCGGAGTCGGAAGTGGGTGTGCTGATGCTCTCAGTGGGATGTGGAGATTCTGCTAAACCATATTGGGAGTCAGTGTGTAGGTGAGGATTAGCAGCCTGCACACTGGCAGCCCTTGATTTTATTTTAACTGCGATGGAATGTGGCTGAAGCAGCGTAAACCGCTGAAGTTGTGTTTACCTGCTGTCCAACACTCAGCGGGCCACACACAGGGGCAGGCGGGCCAGTGTTGGGCACCAGGGGTCTACACTCACAGATCTGGTCATAGTACCAGCGATTGTTCCATTCAATTGATACAGATGAAATGTATAGAAGATGAGTGTGTATGGGCTTTTTCGCTTTCCTCCTTTATATTTTAGGAGATGCTTATTGTTTGCATAATAGATTACAGATTTTAAATGCATGGAATTGATTTCTCTCAGTGCTTTGTTGGTACAAATTCAGATTGTTACAGCAGCATTACTTCTTCCTCATCATAAAGTCTTGGTGTACACGGTGTTCTTAGTTGTTTGTACTCTGCCCATTTAGGCAGGTGTAAGAAATGACTAACGACAGCTTGTATATATAACAGAGACCATTTCAGATGAGGTTGCAGGTTTACGGAAATGAGAATTCATCTATTTTTAATAAACCTACGTATGTACAGTACATGCATCAGTTGCTTTTCTCCTGAAAAAGCAGACCTAGCATAAATATTTCCGTACTGTGATTCCTAAGGTGCCTTGAAACATGTTCTATAGTTGATTAGTAAATTATAATAGTATATAATATAATAAATCATATGTCATTATTTCTAAATGCGGTTGTAATGTTGTGGGAACTATACTTTATATTTCCGATTTAGTTTCAGTCAAATATAAATATTTAGTAGACTTTTTCAAAAATGTTCCTTGCGTCTGTAAACTTACAGTGCAATTAGTTTGGAATTCATCGATTAATGCTTGTATGTGAATGCACATGGCACACTAGCACTTTGTTTTTTGGGGAATATTTAGTGATAATCTGTTTTCTGTTAGTCCTAATCTTGTCACATCTGTGTAAGAAATCTGCTGTCAAAGTCCTGGTCTATATTAATTTGAATTGCAAGCTCCTAGTATACTTGAAACAGTGCAAAAGAAATGTTGTGTCATATTTGTGCTGTTAAAAGGATCCACTGCACAAAAATACTTATTATTCTGTACTTTTGCATTATTTAAAAAATGATTTGTGGTAGTAGGTAGAATTTCCCTTTAAAGTCAAGTATGCAGTTTTTTATTACTTTCAGGTTATGTGTATTTCCAGCAAGAAAGAGATTGTGCAGTGAAAGGCTTGTTTTAGTTACTTAGCCAGTAGCTGCTTTTAAGAAGTTTTATATTTTAACTTTGGATATTTTTTTACATGCTGGAGCTCTTCTGCAAGCGGTGATTTAGATTTTGTTGCTCTGAAGGGGTTGTAATTGTTCTCTTTAGATTGTTCATCACAGGACACAGGCTTCTGTCGTTTGGAACACTGGTTGTATTTCTACCCTCAGGAGATAAGACACTTGCATAGCTTTAGGCTGAAAAGTCAGCCCAGTATAACCCTTTCCACTCCCAGCAAGTCATTTTTTTTGCTATTGGCCTTTACAGACAGACATCTCTCTTATCTATGAGAAGTAGATCTCTTTCATTTTTTCCCTTGGAATTTTTCTTAAGATATTCTTCAGCTGCTGCTGCGGCAGAAGAGGCATCTGATTACTCCTTGGCATGCTCTGTGGGCCGTATGCAGACCCCACCTGGAGGAAGATGCAGGGCTGGCATGTAATGTTGCTTAGGGCACTAGATCCTGCAATTAATGTTCACCCTTAGCACGCAGTTCAACGTGGTGTGTTTGCCCTAGGGTGCTATACACGTTCAGGGCCAAGGCATTACCCATTGGTCTGATCCAGTCCCTGAAGTCTTACTCGCAAGTATGCCCATCCGGGAAGGGTGAAAACTGCTGTATAGGGCTTCTATAACGGGCCATCTATAATGCTTGTATATTGAATTTCCATGGGACACTTGCAAAGTCTCATATGTAATCTGCCCGGCCTACACCCAGGTTTTACGACCCCTGTGCACATCAAGGATGCACACCCCTGTTTTCTAGGACACAAACACTAGCTAAATTTTGCTGTGGATACACAATACTACCAGATTGTTGTCATTCTCTTTGGACTGTCTACTGCACCTTAAGCATTTACAAGGGTGCTGACTCTGGTCCTCATTCTGCTACGTGCTCAGGGGAAACCCATTCTAGGGTATGTGGTGTATGTTTTGCTTAGGTAACAGTTGGTGCAAACCCTGTCAGCCAATGTTCAACGGACAGTGCAGACCCTACAGAGAATCCTAAATCTCCATAAATCAGTGCTGGATAACACTAATTTGGAGTATCTGGGCCTAATCTTGGACCCTATAAAAGATGTTCCTTCACCCAGACAAACTTCAGTCCCTCTGCTCTCACATTCAGACTCCAGGAGCTGCTCCTTCATTTGCTTTTTCATGAGAGTTCTGGGCTTAATGGTGGTCGCCTTTGAGGCACTCCCATTGGCCCATTTTCACTCGAGAACGTTGCAACTCTGCAATGTTCTGGCAGCATGGGGCAATCAAACTTAGTCCCTGGATCGTCGCATGCATCTGACAGACAGGGCCAGGCTTGCCCTGGTATAGTGGATAGCCAGTCTGGAACTGGATTTAGAGAAACCCTTTCTCCTGATGGTCTGAGGATTGGATGCCAGTCTGTCAGGCTGGGGACAAGTCCTGGGTACCCTGCTGG